TCCTCTGACATCTGCGTTCTAGGGATTTTAAGACTTTATCTGAATGCGAAATTTGTATTTCGCCCTTTCATGTTATACTAAAGCGTCTTTATTTATCTGTTGTTGATTTTTGTATAGGACATCCGCAAACCAAGGGCGATATCGTCAGAGGCGAAAGGCAGAGTTGGTCAAGCTTCAACAGACCAATGCTGGTCTGAACTCCAAGAGCACTTTCTTCAATGTGCAGATTGACTACTACAATCAATACATCAAGACCTGCATGGACAATTTAGCCAGCAAGGGCAAGTGAGTGTCCATTTAAGTTCATGTCATCATCTTTGATTGGATAATTGCTGTTGAGCTCTTGGTTTACGCTCATGGAAAATGTCATTGCTTCACACACAGAGTTTCTAAGAAACCTGGAGACGGTAAGGCAAAGAAGAGCAAGCAGGTATCGCAGAAGTATACAGCAGCCCGTCTGCATGAAAAGGGAGTGCTCATTGACATTGAGGATCTGCAGACAAATCAGTGAGTTTCATGTCATTAATGTACTGTATTCATATCTTATCATACTGTGTGTTTATATATCTGCATTTCCTCTTGTTGCCCTTAGAAATAATATGCTTTATCTTTTACAGGTATAAGAATGTCATTTTCGAGATCTCACCATCTGAGATTGTGGGAGTGTTTGAGGTGAAAGCTAAGCTTATGGGAGTCCATTTGGAGACATTAATGTTAGAATACCAGGTGAAATTTTCCCTTGATTTTTTTTTTTTTTTTGTATCTAATGTAGTCGGAAGGAATGTTTGATTTTGTAAGGACTAATGGCCTATTCACACCAAAATCTATAAAGTTTCAAAAACTGTAAGAATAGGAGAGTATACCACAACTATAGTGATAATTGTAACGATACCAACACAGAAGAACGATATTGTTGAAACTACTCTCGGAGTATTTTTTTTCAGCTGACAATTTCTTCGCATTATATATATATATGCCTTTTAAAACTTATCATGCGAGAATGGGCCTTAACTGTATGTCTTTTTTTTGCCCTCTTTAATATCAGGACCTGCTCCAGTTGCAGTACGAGGGGGTGGCAGTGATGAAGCTGTTCGATCGAGCTACTGTAAATGTTAACCTCCTCATTTTCCTGCTCAACAAAAAGTTCTATGGCAAATAGAGACTCAGAGGGACTTGACAGACTGTTGCATACAAAGTGAAGCCCAGACCACATGCATCTTTACAGTTTAAATCTCTTCTGCACTACCCTGAGTATGCCTGTGTACCTTTTGTGCCTTTCTCAAAGGATAGATTCCTTGAATGTACATTATTATACTTGTCATAGACCACCAACCTGTATCTTCCAGATATGTAATGGTTGACCGTTTTCTGTTTTTATTGAGATTATCAGTGTCCAAAAGAGTATCAATAGTAGTTTGCTTCGATCTTTTGCAAACTGTCCTTGCATGAGCTTTGAATACTGTACATGTTATATGTAAAATGAACATTTTTATTAACTAATCTATTCTTTAGGAGAAACTAAATTGTTTCTTAGTATCCCTATCGTATAGGAAGGTGATTATAGCCACATTCCTCAATGTTACCAAATATATTTATCAGAGCAATTTTTTTGTTTATTTGTAAAAAAAAAACCTAGCTATGAATAGGTTCATTGGCTGGTCAAAAATGAGGACTTATTGGAAAATACTTTTTTCTTTTTCTTTTTCTGAGCATTTGGAAACTGCATGCTGGATGAGTTTAAGTTTACATCCCTCTAATTTTTGCAGCCTTGTGTCCATTTTTTTTTTTTTAAAAAAGGTGCCTTAACTTGAATAAACTGCTGGGAAAATGTGTGGAGAAGCCTTATCCTATCAACACAGGGCTTATAATGTCAGTCAATCTCATTGTCTGCTGTTGCAGTTAATGTCTCTTATATTAAAAAGGAGTAAAAGTTGATTGATTACATATTTTGACTGATTAGTAATGCTGGTTTATACACTTATTATGTTCATAAAGGCAACAATGACATAATAAACAGAGCAATTATTGCATTTAACAGATGTACAGACACATTTTCTTTGAATTTTATTCAAAAACCATTGCAAATATCAAGTTTGATTTTAATTCAGTCCATTAAACAAAGGGATTCAGGTTTTAGAGCAGAACATCAAACTTGTGTAACTGGTGTTATGTCTGATTGGGATGTTCTCAATTACTGTACTTTTGAAACAAAATGCCACACCTTTTTCTATACAAATGTTTTGTAAAGCAGTATATTTTTTATACTGTTACGGTTAACATGTTTTAATGTAACAGTAATGGAAACAGTCAATTTGCTAATGTTACCAGTAACACTTTAAATGTAGTTCACATACAGTAGATGCTGCATGAATGATGACATGAGATGATAAATTTCACTGTCCAGTGTTTCATACAGCAGACAGTAACCAAACCTGATGATCTTTGACCTCAGTGTATGGTTCAAACACAAAATGCCTGCTTGAATATCTACTCAATGTAATGTGTTTGGCCTCTTCATGAATTGCAGATAGCTCAAGCAGTCAGTTGTTAGTTGTTTAACTGAAAAACTATTAATAAACTGTATAAATGAAAACCACAGGGATGGAGAGAATGATGTTACAGTATTAGCTTTTGTTCAGAACCCATTAAAGGGTTCGCCCAAAAATGGAAATTGTCATCATTTACTCTCAAGTTGTTTTAAACCCGAATAATTTTTTTTCTTCTGTTGAAAACAAAAGTTATTTTGAAGAATGTGGGTAACCAAACAGTTGTTGATGTGCTGTGCAGTGACATAGCCTAGTGTTTTTTTTCCAAAGTAAATGGGGATCAGCAACCGTTTTTTATAGCCACATTCTTCAAAATATCTTCTTTTTTTGTTTAGCACAAGAATTAAATGAATACAGGTTTGAAACAACTTTTGGGTGAGTAAATAATAACAGAACAAACAGGACAAAGCATGTTTACTGTAGGCTACTGTCACTTTAAGACCGGCACTCATAATAACACATACCGTATGACGTGGACACACCTGATTTTCTCTCAAATGTTTGCTTTCACTTTAGACATAACCAACTGTGTTTATGTAAACCTTGTATGTATTTGCGCACAGGACCAGAGTCGGAGGACTTAATTACATTTTTGTGGAGTAGTATTACGAATTAATGTTTTTAAAATAGTATTAGTATAAAAAAAACACTCGTTCGCTCATTTTGAGATGGTTCTCACTGCAGAACATGAAATCCACGGGGAGGAGTCAGATCCAACTCCTCCCACCTTACATAGACCTAAACCTACCCAGCTCCACCCCCTGATCCCTAAACCCAACCCTAATCCTACCCACCCCCACTCCTTGGATCTTGATCCGACTCCTCCCCGTGGATCTCATGTACTGCATTGAGGTGCTACTGCTCATTTTGGTGTACCCTATGGATGTGTGGCACCAGCGAGCTAACGCTGGACCAATATTGATCCTCGTCCAGCCTTTTATTTTGCCACTCTCCCTTTTTCTCTTTCTACTGTCCACCGACAAAACCTTGGCTTCTTGGTTTTATTTGTTGCTTCAGCCATGACGCTTCCTACCCGCTCCCCGAAATTACATAGTGCCAGTAAAAGCGATACAGACACTGTCAGGCAGGCTATGGCAGACCTGTCATTCAACCTATTGTAAGTCATCGATGTACCATTTCAAGGGTTTTGGCAAAATATTATAAAGGTTGAAAAAGTTACATACTTTAACTCTTCCTGTGCATTAACATGATGTGAATGCACGTCACGTTGTACAGAATGTTGGGGCAGAGGAGCCAGAACTGCAACTGATAGAATGCACTGATAGTTTTATTGATATTGAAGTAGAAGTAGATATTGAAGTAACTTTGATATTGAATGCAGTGTAATCCGACTCCAGTAAATTTTTATTTGATTGTATAGTTTTATACAGTATAGTTTGTATGTAATATAGTTTCAACATATTCATTAACATATCATTTGCTCTGCTCCTGTCTGTTGAACATGACAATTAGAGATTAGAAAATATGGTTGTCAATACAAAATACAGTCTCTGAACAAACACTCTTGTTGTATGTTCAATGGGGTTCTTGACTCAATTTAAATTATGTTGGTTATGAGCTTTTTCATTCAGAAAATCCCATTGAAATAAAAACTGAATTATAAAAGATCATTCTCATGCTCCTCTCACCTGAGCTTGACAAGACACTAGACAGCAGTGGCCATGTTATCCTCCTTTTATCTCTTTAGCCCATAATGTTGGGTTCTTAGAATGGGCATTATGAAGATCTTCTTGAATAAAGGAACTATAGATTTAATGAATGTTGCAGGATTTATTTATTTATTTTCGTATACGAAAAAAATATGTATGCGACGACCTTATTCAGAGCAGCACCATGACAGGTATGAAAGTGAGGCTGTGAGGGATAAACTTACCGTGTTTCCAATGGCATCCGCTGTAAAAAGCTGAATAAAGCGGCTAGATTACTTACAATTTTCCACAGCTTACATTGTCGGGAGTTTTTTGTCAACTGACATTTCTTGGAAAGATATTTTTCCAGTGTTTCATACGGTGGCCGAGAGGTGCAAAACAAATCACAATTATAAAAACAAAAAAACAAGTCAGAAAACACAACGACAATTCAGAAAACAAAATAACAATTCAGAAAACACAACAACAAATCTGAAAACAAATTAACAAATCAGAAAACACAAAAACAAATCTGAAAACAAATTAACAAGTCAGAAAACACAACGACAAATCTGAAAACAAATTAACAAGTCAGAAAACACAACGACAAGTCAGACAAAACGGAAAAGGTAGGTATATGTGGCGAATGGAATACTGATCGCTGATTGGACGAGACATCTGTCAATCAAGACATACAGAAAGTACAGCAGACTGCGCCTGCGGCAGAAGAAAGATTGATTCGCATGTGTATGTGTAAATATTAGCTGTCTATTTAGCCGGCTAATTTAGTGATATTATGGAGAACAAAACTTTTCAAATTAAAATCTTCCTACCAAACCGCTTCAGATGATTCAGTGACAGAACGGTCCGAACGAATCCGAATCGTTTCCTACTGTTATCCACGCGCGTTTGGCCAATTCGTGAAAAGGAGATAGGAATCGAACCAACGAATGATTAATATCGCTGGTTCAGTCGACAGAAATACGGGACACACATATTAACTGCTGAAATATTCGGACTGAAAACGTTTTTCTCAGGTCAGTCGGAGCGCTCGTGGTACACACACAGTGCGTATACAGCTGCACGCGCCACTGCGGCCACGCGCATATCAAACCAAATTTAGCCGCACCACCAGAAAATAGGAGTGGGAGGTTGGAGTGCTCTCGGGCCGCATGGAGATGATTGGCGGGCCGCACTTGGCCCGCGGGCCGTCAATTGAATAGCCCTAGCCTAGACGATACAGCTAATATTTACACATGCACACGCGAATCGATCTTTCTTCTGCCTGTATGTCTTGATTGACAGATGTCTTGTCCAATCAGCGATCAGTATTCCATTCGCCACATATACCTTTTCCGTTTTGTCTGTTTTGTCGTTGTGTTTTCTGACTTGTTAATTTGTTTTCAGATTTGTCGTTGTGTTTTCTGACTTGTTAATTTGTTTTCAGATTTGTTTTTGTGTTTTCTGATTTGTTAATTTGTTTTCAGATTTGTTGTTGTGTTTTCTGAATTGTTATTTTGTTTTCTGAATTGTCGTTGTGTTTTCTGACTTGTTTTTTTGTTTTTATAATTGTGATTTGTTTTGCACCTCTCAGCCACCGTAGTTTCATGAGCAGAACAATCCGAAAACACATTAAATAACAGTACAGCCCATTGAAGAGATGCAAGTCTATCCCTCACAGCCTCGCTTTCATTCTCATTAAAAATCAAAGATGGCGCTGCCGTGAATAAGGCGTATACGTTGCCTTCGCAACAAAACTAATAAATGTTATTTTAACGCATTTTAATACAATTTAAAAAATATTTACATATTGAGCACTTTAATTTATACATTAAATAGTTGTAATGGTTAACATGCAATTTACACTTTAACATAAATAATAGGGCTGTGTATCCCTTTAAGGGAACTCCACTGCCTCCTTGTGGACACAACTTTAAAAAATTGGTACACAGTTTTGGGGCAGGCTAGTGTATTTTTTCCTCGGCTTGTTTTCATTCGGAGTGAGGGATCGAAGTTGACAAAACAAATGTGAACCGTGGAGTCACGAGTCGGTGTATCACAGCTCAGGTGGATCTAGATGATGGACACGGAGAAGAGAGTCCAAGGGAGTACACGCGGACTACACGATCAGATTTCACCGCTGCATTTCACGAATCAGTAACATCTAAACATTTTCTCTGACTCGAATGACAACAGCGCTCGATCACTGGCCGCTGGTTGTCCTGCCGCAGGACAGTGAGTGTCTGTCTAGTGTAGTTTCATTTGCTACCTTGCTGCAAAGTTGCTGTCGCGCTTAACTTACCTGTTTATATGAGTTTTGAATGCGTAATGAGGTTTACATCGGCGAGACCACTTGTTGAAATCTCACGAAACTAAGTTCAGTGTTGTGACCAATAAGATTGATTGAATTGACCATATAAGTGAGTCGCTTGCTGTCATTTACAGTTTGTTTGTGACATTTCGTGTGATATTTTGATTGTGTCATATCGCTCATTAGCAGGTTAGCTGTTACGGCTGACTTTACCCTGAACCCGACTGAGCAATATCGGTCAATTACACACATTTAGACAGTTATATTACCAACTGTCTACCTTAATTCATAAATAATGGTAGGCACTTAAATATTTATGCGTAAATCGTAAATAAACAAAACAACTGAAATGCTTCTTGTCATAATCTAAAGTATTTAGCTCGTTAGCTAGAGTCGTTTCTGAACTTGTTTCGTAAAGCCAAGTGATTTTTTTTAAAGCTTTTTTTGTTTGGCAGTGCACAGTATTCCATCTCATCCTTTTCCCCCCATGATACAAGGAAATAACTTGTTTTAGTGATGCCAAACAAAACTGTCATAAACGCTTGAATATAACGTTAGCTATAGCGATGTCCAGTTTCCTGGCAAACTTTTAGCAAATTCGGCTATCGCTTGTATACAAAAATAGCGTTATAAGTTTAAAGAATTCCTATAACTTATATCATTGTTACTTTGTACTTCAGCTGATTTAAGTCCATAAAGTTGTTATTAATACGTTTTCGTCGCATTTTCCAGCTCATAAATGGTGGCAAAGCTCTTGTCATTAAAGCGACCTCGTCAAACCTCTCTAAAGCATCTGGGCTGCACTCTTAAACGCTTTTCAGACATGGAGGGACAAGTTAAACACATTTGACTGACATATCGACAATATTCAACAGTCAGTTCTCTGGAAAGTTGATCTCGAAACTCTGCGGCCCAGCCATGTCTGGATCCCCGGGCTCGAGTGGCTCCAACCCGCGGAAGTTCAGCGAGAAGATCGCGCTGCACAACCAGAAACAGGCGGAGGAGACGCGGGCCTTCGAGCAGCTCATGACAGACCTCACCGTCTCAAGGGTAAGCACAGCCAAATTAGGAATTACCTCACTCCTTCGATTTCATACATCATATGCAGATGCCTAACGTTAAGTGTGTCCTATGCGCAACTGAACCACTGTGAATGTAAAATGCCCGACAGATCGAGCTCATGAGGAGGGATGAGAATGTCAGTGTCTCTCTGACTGCTGTCATTCACACTGCACGCGCTCGATTCAGACGGACGTTATTAAAGCGATCATACTTTTTTAATTGATCTCATCGTATTTTCTAGTCATCACTTCATGATTTGTTCATTTTGTTTAGTATCAGCTGTGAGTAGCGGCAATTGTATTTTTTCTTTAAGTACAGATGTTTTTGATAGTCACGATGACCCTATGGTCAAGTCACCATGGCAACCATAGTTTCCAGCCAAGCTACCATAGTTACCACAGTTATTGTTTGTTACTACAATAAAACTGTGGTAATAACGTATATGACAGAATGAAAACAGAAACAGAAGAGATGTTTCTATGATGTATGTTGATATGTGGGGTGGGGGTCTATGATATCTCAAAGATATCTCGAGATATACTTGATCAAGTCTTTGAGAAGTTGAAATCAAATGTTGTCTTTAAACATATTGTTTGAAATAATGTTTGTGTGTGATTTCTTAAAACAGAATCACAATGTCAAGTAGTTCACTCGAATACAATTGTATTATTTATTACACTTTTTTTGAGTCAGTGTGTGAGGTATGAGATGTAAAGTTTTTAAATTTGCACCTTTTTTGTATATGCCGAGGGAGTTTATTTGTTTGCGGATTGTAATGGATAATGTACAATCAGTCAATTGTTATTGGAAAATAAACCCGACACGGTTATCATGTGGAACGCACTGCAAAAACTAGCCTGATAGATAAGTTACACGCTGACGACTGACCGTCGGCCTGGTGTGTCCCTGCCTTAAGATACAGTGTTGCCCTTGACATCAATTCTTTTTCAGAAATACTTGACTGCATGATGCAGTGAATGAACCAGAATCAAATCATTCCAATGAATGAAAAATCAGCAGAAGAGAAAAGCCATTTAACACTCTAAAATATAAACGATTTCGCAGTAATGGCATAGAAGAATCCTCTACCACACAGTTCTTAAAATAACTCTTTTTCTGTCTCAGTGAAGATCTTCATGGAATCATCAATGCCAACCTTTATTTTTTAAAGAGTGCTAAAACTTGACTGATTTTATATTGTTGTAACAATCTTACTCATGCCCTTGAGAAGATTCACTTAATAGGCTGATTTTAAACAAGGACTATTAACTGGTGTTTTGTCAGAAGCTGTGGTAAACATTTATTGGGGTCATGTTGTCAAAGGCTTTTATTATGCTGTGCTGCTTTGCATTTTCAGTTTCATTTACATGTAAACATTTAGAGTAACATTTGTAATGGTGAACAACATCATCCCCTAGCTTTGGACTGACCAGTAAAAGAGCATGTTCAGGCTACTTTACTGTTAGTTGTGGAAAAATGCTTTTGTGTATCTTGAGTTTGAGTTGATCATGCGATCATATTTTTTTTTTTTTAGCGACTGAATTATGGATCAGAGAAAGGTTAAGAAATGTCGGTCAGGTGTAGTAGTTCAACTGTTGGTCTTTCACCAGTAGGAAGTGTTTTACCAGAAAGCAGCTCTGCGTCAGACAGCACTCTGTCTCTGTGTGGAGTCTGTAGGCGGGAATGAATGAACATGATCTGCCAGTTCATGATTTGGCTGCCTCTTCTTCTAGGGCACAAGAACGGGGTTGTGTTTGTGTTATAGTACGTTGTCAGAGTTTAAAGTCATAACTCTTTACACACAATTTTTCTTGACAATGGAATGAGCCCTTGAGGAAAATGCTTGCATTTCAGAGAAGTAAAAAAAGAGAGGCAAGTTTGTGAAATCTGAAGCATTTCTTGAATTTTACTTTGTTAATTTTTAAGCATTGTCATCTTTAAAGGGGTCATGAACTGTTTTTTTTAAATTTTATTATATTGTTTGTTTTCTGAGGTCAACTTATGACGTTCGCTTGGTTTTTGCATTCAAAAACATCAAAATGAATAAGTAATAGGCTATTTTGTACCCAAGTTTTGAGCCTACCTGAAAAACGTTTGGTTTGTATGGGCGTCTCGCACTGAAGACTTGGAAGTAAACGCCCACTGCTGTGAGTGGATAACAGTTTTGCTTATTATATTGAGTTTCAACTCACCCGTCAATGCACTTGGGAAATTTTTTTGAAAACGTCCAATGTTGTAAAATGGCAACCGGAATGATTCGACCCAGAGTCCGTGTGTTGCACAATTCCTGTCAGATCCAATATAGACGGCACAGCACCGTTCTTTACTCTTAATCGTCTGCAAATCCAGTCTTGTTTACAGGACAATCCTTAGGGAAATGAAGCGAGCAGATGGACGATGTTTTACCTCATCTGCTAGAATGTCATTAAAAATAAAGTTTAACCATGAAGTCCTATTGGAATCCAGAGGAAGCTTATGCAGCGACTGTCTTCTTCCACAACCAGGCACTGCACAATATTTTGTATTGCTCGGTAGCTCGATCTGGTTTGTCATCATGAGTAAGGCTGTGAAACGATTAATCGTATCCAAAATAAAGTTTGTGTTTATTTAATTTATGAGTGTGTAGTGTGTATAATTATTTTGTATATATAAAAACACACACATGTGACATGCATGTATATATTTAAGAAATATTTGTATGTATATACTTATATATTTATAAAAAAATTATATTATACATAAATATAAATATTTGATATATTAATAACACATTTTTTTAAATATATACATGCATATGTGTGTATTTATATATACAATATAATTATACACACAACACGCATATATTATGTGAACAAAAACTTATTTTGGATGCGATTAATCACGATTAATCGTTTCACAGCCCTATAGGTAGGCATCTATGTTATTTAGCTATGCGTGTAATGCACGAATCGGTGGGCGGAAGGACTGTCGCGATAACCGCAATATTGTAGTACCGCACTTCTGACAAGTCAACCGCAGAGGATTGCACATAACCGCAGCAACCGCGATATTCACATTTTTTTATGAGGCTATACCCTTCTTGTTTTGAACTTAATGCATGTGTATTGAATATTAAACATGTTCATAATGATAACAAGACTTTTTATCATGGTGATGTCATGTGTAGCCTACAGGCTTCACACAGACAGTGAATGAGAGAGATCGGCAGAGCGCGTGCAATTACCTGCGTCTGCCTTTGAAGTTGTGAAAAGCTTGTCGTGTCAAAGGGAAGTGAAATATTTGTCACATCATCATTTTAACGTTCTTTTCACGGGTAGTTTCCCATAAATGCGCGTCAGCAGCAGCGCTGGTCAGCGTCCCACTGCACAAGGAAGCCGCGAGGAAATAAAATCAGTGAGTCACGCATTGAATCAATGCTATATTGGTCTCTAATAAGTGAAGCATCAGCTTCAGCATTTCCCATGCGACACATTGCTGCTCAGCTGAGCCTTGAAAAGTTGAACCTCAAAGTTAAAAATAATAAACATCTTGTTTCATTACATCTCTTTTAATGAATCAGCTTTTTTAAACGTGTTCGTTGAATTAACGGTTCAATGACTCGCTCAAAGTCCGTTGTCATAACAATATGTGCGCTGAGTGAAGTCTTTCAATGCGCATATACTGTAGACGCTGTTTAGTTTCGATTACATTGGTTACTGAAAATGTCCTCGTTTTTGTCCACATTTGATCCACATTTGCTATATTTATATAGCAACAAATACATATAAATTAAATAAATAAATAAATGGCGGTAATACCGCATATTGAGCCACTCAACATTACCGCAAGGGAAATTCCATAACCGCGACAGCCCTAGTGGGTGGGGCTAAACCGGACATGTTGATTAGGTGTTGATCTTCTTCTGCGGGGGTGGTGTTTTAACCCCTTTGACGTCATAGTTCCCCACTTTTCAAAACGAGTCGTTTGCGGGGCTGGTGTCAATAAAAGCTTTTATTGGACTAACAAGGCTGTTTTTAGTTCTGAAACTTACAGGATATTCTTATAATATGATGACCTCTTAGATGTCAAAAGCTCAAGGACATTTTGATTTCTAAGTTCATCACCCATTTAACAAAATCAATACTTGATATATAGTATATCAATACTTCATCAATAATTGAGAATGTTTATGTGTGGAGACTACTGACAGATGAAAAAAAAAAAAAGATTGTTGTAGGAATTGCATTTTTTAGACACATTTTCAATGAATGTATTGTAGCTTTCCAAACATTGTCAGCAATGATCCACCAGTGAAATTAGTGGACTGTGTCTTGAAATTAGTAAGTATGGCAATAATGCCAAAGCAGCAAAGTGTGTCATTTGCAATGAAATGACTAACAATGCTTCTGGCATGTCAAAGTGACCACCACTTTTCTTTGTGTTTGGTTTCTCGACATTTCTCGTGGCGCTCAAATAAACAGCATTGCCACAGTGTTTACTCTGTAAACTTTTCGAGGAAGTGAATCTACAAATTGTTTAATTATATTTATGGTGTCTGTCTGGACATTAAACTGGTATGTCAAACAGAGAGATCATTTGATAATTTTTGTCGAACAGTTGTCTTCTTTCAAAACAAAAACACTCTTCAGAATTGGACGTCTGCTTGTAGAAACAGATCTGACACCTTGGATGGATCTGAGAGAGTTGGCAGAAAGCAAAGACCAGATGTTTTGCAGAGCTGTATTGAGTCTTCCCACTATAGCCATTTTGTGTAGGATGTGATAAACAGAAATGTAAACAGAACCGTTATGTGTGCCGTTATAACGCTTGTTGTCCATAAGACCACTACATGTTTGCAAGTCATCCAGCTGCAGGCGTGCTAACTGCCCTTTGGGCATGTCCAGCCTATGCAAGGAGTGGATCAAGGTGTCTCTGTTAGGCCACGGTCACTAGACTTTGTTCGTAATCTACTGCACTTTACTTTTTTTTAGTTCAGCTAAGAGTGTCAT